GAGAACACACACACACACACACACACACACACACACACACACACACACACAGTCTTAATAATCTTTGGAAATTAAATTTGCCGCAATACATTAGACATCATAAATTAACTTAACATTTATTAAAAAGGCATTTTACACTGCAATAAGGTAATTATAATTTTTTAATAGTAAATTAACCTTTTTAATCAAATTAGATAAAATTAGATAAAATAAAAATAAAATTTTTTTATACAATAGATATGTTCATATATATGTAAATATACATATATATATTTATTATATATGTATATCTATTATAAATATATAATAATTCTTCACGCATTAGTTTAGTAAGCACAAAAGAAGGTAATCATCAAAAATAATCAAATATTATTACATGATATTATAGCAAAGAGCTAAAACTGTGTATTAAATGGACAAATTCAGCATTTTCTCTTCGTCGTTCTTCAGAAATTAAAATCTTCGATCAAGCAAGATTTTGAATTATTCTGCGCGTTAAATTAATTAAAGAATCTTTGATTTTCGATGTCTGAACAGCCAAAGTTTAAGGACAATCAGAGACATTTTCTGGAGAACAAACAAGGGTATTCGAAAAGGCGCGAGCGCTATTGGAACAATGACGTGGGCTCTAACATAGACGATCGCTTCGGAAAAGTGACATAGCAACAACGGCACTTTCATATAAGTAAATATCCTCCACAACAACGAACTATACCATTTATGTTCGGTCTTTGGCATGGATTTCGCGAAGTTTGTCACTTCCTAAAGCAGATAAAAGAGAATTACTAGCCTAGGCGAGCATAACTGATCGAAAGAAAGCGACACCGTAGCGACAGCATCGAGCAAGACAAGTGACTCGAACTTCATGCAAACGTTTACGTTCTACTAATAAGCAGCGATTCGCTCTCGCGGCGAATCGAACGCCTGGAATAAAAGCAAAAGAAATACCTGCACAGTCAGTTCGGAGTCACGCTGATTCTCGCTGATTAACGACTCGGCCACACTTATGTCATCGTACTCCTCTTGATCCAGCATTATGGACAGCTCGTCGTGCGTCCTCGTGTCCATGCCGCGTAAACAACGTCCGCATAACTGACCTCGTCTGTAAAAATGATTTTTCACAAATATTCACGCAAAACTGCATGCCAATAAATCCGACAACGTACAATTTTTTTTATACGTTTAATTTTTTTCTTCTTTATACTAAGATGGATATCTTCATATAAATTTTAATCGGGTACGTGAAGAACGAACGAGCCATGTTCCAAGGGAAGGAAAAGAAATGAGAACGCAGGTATACCTGACTTCCTCCAAGGTGCTGATCTCGTCCTGCAGACTCTTTACATCTTGCGCCTTGTTACGCAATTCCGTTAATTGCTCCTCCAACGTGCTATTCTCCTGCAGCAGCGTGGCCAGCTGCTGATTGAGTTCGAAAACCTTCTTCTGTTCCCTGGCCCTTTGATTGCGAGCGTCCTGCAGCTGCCGCAACAACTCGGTCATCTCTTCGTCGCTAGTCACGCTCGTTTTAGTCGTGTCTTGGGAGCACTTCGGCGAGCTCGGGGCAGCTCTCTGAGGGCAGGAAGAAAGCGTCAATTCCTCTCCGTCTCAAGACTCAAAGGAAGCAAAGAGCGACGTCACGATAGTAAAAGGACTACGGGCACAATTCGTACCTGTTTCTCGCTGCCACCTTCGCGTATCCAAAGTTTCCCAATCGGTGCTCTGTTGCTGCTGCAATTGCTGCTGTTGTTGTTGTTGTTGTTGCTGCTGCTGCTGCTGCTGCTGCTGCTGCTGCTGCTGCTGCTGCGCGTGATTCCTAGACGGGCTTGCGGCATGCTGGCGCAATCGTTCGGTCAGGTCGTCGATCTTCTTCTGAAGCTCCTCGCATCTGATTTCCAGATTCTCGATAGTCACGGATTGGCTGCTCGTGCAAATCGTTATACGATCGTCAGTATAGGAGTTTCTCGTTATTGCGGAATCGCAATTTCTCCGACAGCCGGACATCTGTTCGAAATGTCGCCTCGCTCGGAGAAATGCGCGGCGACAGTCTCTCAGCGGCGGCGGAGTTTCTCCGGAATTTCGGGTCAATCGCGGCGAGTCAAAGCATAAAGCCTAGGTCCGAGAAAGATGCGTCGACCCGAAATCTCGATGAGAGACAAACGCCCGCGGATCGATTAATAATGCAAAGGCTTATTTTTTCGAGAAATAGATTTCATTTGGGAGATTAGGATAGTGTTAAATGGGAAAATAATACCTAATAACTTTCCATGAACTCTAATTATATCAGGCGGTGCATGAATTATGCATTTAGAAAGGTGAGCTTGGAACGGTTCACATAATCAATACAATATGAAGATACTAATAAGATATAATAACAGATCTCGTTAAGCCCGGCATTTTTCCGCGGTGCTTTTAGAATAGTTATCTAAAATATCAAGTGGTACCTTTCTTTTCGAATGAGAGCGTTAACCCTTTTTTTTCCTTTTTTTTTTTTCATTTATTCGAAATGTTTCACCAATCGAAGAAACGAAACGTCGAAAAAAGGGCGAGGTAAGATAACGCGCCTACCTCTTGATTAGTTTCTTATCGCTCGTGTTCTCGATCACCAGGTGATGATTCGCACGTTCCAGATCCTGCACGCTGACTTCCAGCTGTTCGTAGACTTTCAGTCGCGTATTGTTCACCTCTCTTAGGGCGGCCGTCTGCTTTTTCATATACTGCGGAACGAACAAATAACACGCGTATTCATCGGGCGGTGCAATTTCGAGGTTGAGCGATTCCGCAAATCGCTCGAATTTTCTTACCGCTCCCCGCGATTGTCGCTGCACGATCGCTAGTACTATTACTAAAAATGCCGTACGAAAGACGCGGGAGCTATCAGTAAGATTATCAGAGAGTAACCGGTTTGCAACAATTATCGTTCGATCTGTGTATCTCGCGGAAAAATTACTACAAGATTTATAACCTCGATTTCTTGCGTTTGCTCCTCCACGGTAGCCTGGTGCAGCTTGATGATGTTCTCCAGCTCCTTATTCCGTTCCAGTAGTGTCTTGCCCAATTCGGCCGCCAGTTGTAGATCTGCGCAAAATGTAAATCATATTTTTGAATCGTGAATCGTTCCTTTTATCCGACTCGAAGGTATTTTATTTTTTTGGGGGGGGGGGGATTTTAATTTATCAGAATTAAATTTCGAGGATCGAGGCCTGGACGAGCCGATGCGGCACATCGGTCATTTCCGAATCATATCGTCAGTGGGAATCCTTGGAAAATCCGAGGAAACATTCACGGAATCGAAATCGAGTCGGACTCGTTTCGAATGACAATTAACCGAGCGACGGCTGCAGGTTGCAGGTTGCCGTCTGCCGAGCGAACGCCCTGGTTCACGCTCGCGCGGCACTCCCTCATTCTGACACCGGCTAGGGCCAAGGACCTTCGCGGTAAGCAAACGACCGAGCTACCGTTTCGCGGTACTCGGCTCCCTGGCGGGGGTCCCCAACGTGACCCGCGAAGTTCACGGACGCAGTTGATTTAATGACGGGAATTATTTTTAATGCGACGCGAACACGGCGCGAAAGGTAGCTCTGGATTCCGTTGTAAACCCGTATCCGTCGGCGCAATAAAACGGACCCATCGAATCGATCCTTCTCGGCGGAGAATTGGGAATACCTCTTGCACCCTCTTCCACCCTCCTCGGTCACATCGATTACAATTTGACAAATTTGTTGCGCGACAACGCTCTAGATGACGATCTATCGCACGACCTTTTTTTCAACGTTTCATCACTTTTTTTCGTACTGAACACCATCCTCTTGTCACATCACCACACGTTAACATCATCGACAGCATCGTCGTCCTTCCCGCACAAATTCCAATTCGTCCCCTCTTCCGCTTACTTACTATTTTCGGAGGAGGATCCCTTAAGACTCTTAAGGTACGCGAGCTCGATAGAATAATCCCAACCCTCTAACGAGTTAGTCTGGGTCTGCGGGTCCCAGACCACGTCCATGCTCTGGCCGTTCATGGCTCGCTCGTGATGGGACCTGCCAGCTCCCGTCGTTGCCCTTTCCGACACGCAACCGGTTCCGTCGGAGGCAGCCGGTCTTCTGGTGGTTCTGTGGTAGCCAGCCCGATCGAAACCACGTCGTGTGCCCACCGAGCGGTAATCCAACTCCCTCCATCTCTCGCGCTCTCGTCTCCCTCCCCTTTCCCTGCTTACTTCTGCCTCTGGGCCCGACTTCTGCCCGGTCTCTTCTCCTCCTCACCGTTTCGATCGAGGAGGTACCCCCGAGGGGGGGGGGGCCTCACTTCGCCACCCCGGCTTTCCAGAAGTGGTTTTGAATTTCGGATAATACCTAAGCGTAACGACACTTGAACCGAGCATGAACCAAGATGGAGCAGCCGCTCGAGGGGGGGGGGGGAGGAGAATGGGGCATTGACCTTAAGAGAGTGGCGCTAAAACTAAACTCGTAAAGAAAACGTTTGTTCTCCGATTGTTTCGACGAAGAACAATAAATCAAATCTTTCGCCGTTCCCTCTCTCGGGGGCACTTAGGGAACTAAAAGTGCTCCTCGGGTACTCTCACTCCGGAATCCTCATCCTTTCCCTTCTACCTTTCTACCTTTCTACGTAGTTCGTTCCCGTCGTATCGCGGGATGCTCCAGCGCGATAAGAGAAGGTGTCCCACTTCTGAGATCTTTGATCGCGCACGCGCGTATCTTCGTGGAAAATGGGGGCTGTAGGTTGGGGTGAGAGATAGGGTGATCTGACATGGTGAGATGAACGGGGAAAAATCTTGGCCCGTGTTGCTCGACGATTCGAATGGACCGCTTAAACTCGCGCAGAATTACTTCGTATATCCGCGATTTCCGCGACGGAATGACGTAAGAAAGAGACGTAAGTCCACTTCGTAAAATCCACTTTGCTAAGAATAGCTCGAAGAATGACGAATGAATTTCGTTAAGGCTAGCCACCGCCGTCGTTCCATTGTTTTCCAAGACTATAATATTAATTAATCAGAATGTAGCTACCGGACGGAATAATGACGATTAAGCCGCGACGTTCCTGTGTATCAACGTTTAGTTACGTTACGTTAATAGACGGCAGAACCTTGATCCACTTGGATATAATGGCGAATGCAACGATCGGCATCGTTCGGCATGTAAAAGCTCTATCCGACGTCGCTTAACACGTTCACTGTTCATAGTGAACGTCAGACGCATTGAAGATCGAGCGTAAACATTCAGCTTTCCCTGAATGCTATCTGGGTTTATTCGAGGATTTGTTAATGGGAATTTAATGGGAATAATACATATAGTTGTTAGACTCTCGATATTGAAATAATATATAAATGTCCAAAGAGAGCTTGGCGAGAGTAATGTTTTTGCGTGTAACGTATATTTTGATTTACGTTACACGAGTCAACTACGTTCATCTACGTTTTGACTTCGTTTCGAGCGACACGTCTTTAGCGATACAGGTCAATGCTTTTGTATATCACGTTCACGACCGGTAAAACACAGGTCGACCCGGCTTCCAGAATGCCAAGACTCGAGAAGCGTATCTTTCACAAACAAGTTGTCAGGCCGAGTGAAAACCGAGGCCGAGGGAGTGTTCGAGAAGCGTTGCGAGAAGCGCTCGCTTCTGGAAGGGCTCGAGGATAATATCCGAAGGATTACATCCACGGCGGTGCGGTGCGGAGCAGAAAATCCCACGGTGCACCGCACCGCACCGCATCGCGGTTCGGCAAATCGTTTATACATTTCGCATTCTATCCGATTGCTTTCGAGCGAATCCATTGCAAACTCCATTGTTTCTAATGAACCTGCAATCAGATTCGATCTCCCGCAACAACGACCTCCGAAAACGTCAGCCTGGTGGTGGCCCCGTTACTCGCGTAATCACGAGAGATCACGCAGATTATTATACCGCCGCTGTAGCGTGATCGACGAAAAAGCCGCAAAATATTTTATCTTTTTCCGCTTTTGACGTTTCGCCGTTACATCGTGTCGCAGGGAACTTAACACGATCGGGGAACCAACCGATGCGACGGAGGGGCGGGGGGGGGGGAGGGGAGGGGGGGAAGGGGGGCGAGGGGAGGAGGAGACCAGTGCGTGTGGCGGGAGGAGTCGCCAAAGTGAGCGACGATAA